TTGCTCTAAAGCGGCAAAAAGATCATCCTTATTTGAATAATTTTTGCTTATCTAAGTATTCCCCTAGATTTTTTATGGGGTTTATATCGGGAGACTGTGAAGGCCATTTGAGAACTGGTATTTTTTCATCCAGAGAGAATTTCTTTGCGAGATTTGAAGTGTGCTTCGGGTCATTATCTTGCTGGAAAATTGATCTTAAGGGCATATTGTCTTCCATATAGGGTAACATGACATGCTTTAGTATGTCTGTGTATACAAACTTATCCATAATGCCATCTATTCTATGTAAAGGCCCATCCCAAACCTCGAAAGGCACCCCCAAACCATAACAGACCCGCCTCCATGTTTGACAGCGGGCAAAGTGCACTTGGGGTTCAATCTTTGTCCACTAGGACGTCTAACGTAATGAACACCATCTGATCCAAACATATTGAACTTGGATTCGTCACTGAAACATACCCTCTTCCCGTCTCAAATGCTCCAATCAAGATGCAACCGTGCAAATTGTAATCGGTCCTTACGGTTTTTCCTCGAGATTAGCGGTTTCTTACTCGGGTGACGTGCAAATAACTTCAAATCATTTAATCTTCTACTTATAGTTTTCGTAGAAACACTGACAATTCCTTTTGTCTCGATTTCGGCTTTTATTTGTCTTGGGGTTTTAAACGGATCCTTGGACGAAATTACTTTTATTAATCTTAACTGATCTAGCATTTAGTTTTCTAGGCCGACCACTTCTATTAGAGGCTTCTAAGATACCTTTTTGTTTATATTTGTTCAATATTGCCCAAACTGCTTTACGCTTGAGCTTCAAATTTTTGGCAATGTCGACTTGACGTTGACCATCTTTGTTTAACTCAATGATCTTAGTTTTCACATCGATAGAAATTTCTGGAACACGTGGAATGGTCTTAAAATCACTCAACTTATTCCACAATACTTGATGAACACAAACTAGTCCTCTTCTGACACGAAACTGTTCTAAACTAATGTTGAAAAGAATTTGTCTACATATTTTTGTCCCTCATAAAAAATGCTTATATTTAGAATTGTATTGTGTTCATTGCAGATAATGTAAAAACAAGCAATTTAGTTTTTCTACTAATAACGCATTTGTTTATGGAGCAATGAAGTATGAATTCGTTTTCTAAAAGAATTTAGGTAAATATTCATATTTGTCTATATACTTGTGTCCATTACCGTATGTGCAAATAAATTAAAATTCCGAACGTCCGCTAACTTTGTTTTTCCTTGTTTTGCAAATCGCTAATGGTTTTTTGTGCAAAAGTAACGAATCATTTCTATAGAGGACAACAGTTTCCGCTGATCTCAAACGACGTTTTCCAACTTCTTGAAGGCATAGCAGAATTTTTTCAATTTCTCTTATTCGTTTAACAAAAATGGTGAATGTGCACATGAAACCTAGTGAATTAAAATAAAGCTGGGATCTTAGATTGTACACTTTTATATAGAAAAAACAAGTTAATCTTAGACACAAACAGTATCTAGGTGTGTAACTCATCACGTCAAAAGCGATTATTTTGTACTTTTAGCGAATTTTTGAACTGAACTGTACAGTAATGTGATGTGCCACATGGCGACTATTTCATTATAAGAGTGGTAATATTGCATTCAGAGATCAGAAAATAAACGGTTCACACATAATATATATTCGAACATCGATCAATTCATTTCCAGTTGGTGTACTTATTTATAAAGCTCATCTGAAAATAGCACAAATATTGCTTTGTAGATTATGAGTGAGTGCACTGACATTTGCCCCCATATTATCGACTATTCATTATAAACAGACACTATCTATCTTCAATATATTCAATCCTTCGCATAGTGAATCATCGGCGCCCTATTTTATTCAGATAATATGCAAAGTAGAAACATAAATAATCTGAGTTGTGTGCCTTTTTCACTTATACAGGCTGTTTCAAAAGTGAGGTAAAATATTTAATTGGCGATTCTTGGATTGATTCCAGGAAATAATTTCTTATGAACCCATTGGCTAAACCATTAAAATTCGTGAATTGATAAAATTATAAGGAATTTCATCAATTAGGAAGCTCTGACGGGTCAAATCATGCGTTGCTCGTTGCCGAGTGCCTAAGCTGTCTTCTCACGCCGAAGCACCGAAAGGGTCCAAGACCATCCTTTACCCGCTTTCCTTTGATAAACGAAAGCATACCAGATGTAAGCAACTTCAAAGCACTTAAACCAAAAATACATTGTCGCTCTTGAAGAGATCGATAACACGTCTCAAATTTTTAGATAAAGTTTTACATTCGAGCTTAGTTTGGTTCGCCACTACTTCAAAAAAAACATGATTCAGCAGTTCTTATGCTTTGCTGTACCATTTATCTATAGGATTTCATACTTTTTTAACGGTAACTGATGTTTCTTATTTTTTTTTTGCGCGAAAATTGCACTGGGGTAGTAAAACATGAAGAGATCAAATTTATATGCTCATAAGTAATGGAAAATTGTAAAATAAATTCTGTTACAAAAAATTGTGTTATTTAGAATAAATTTCGCACGACAGCAGTGGAAGAAAAAAATTGTATGTTAGAAAATGCCAAAGAAAATGCGTCTTAATGCATAATAGCTGTGTATCAATCACGTCGCAGGCATTTTTAAAAATAGATTTTTTGAAAGATTGTTTAGGTGACTTCATAAAATGGACCCCATAAATTTCACCTTTAGAAAAACACGAAATTCTGTAGACACCTTCTCGTGATTTAACGGTCAACACGAGCAATGTTTCGAGATTTTGCAGGATAAATAGCAGCGATATGTTTTCTTAAACGATTCAAAAATAGCCGAGCTTTTCATCCACGAGTTTCCCACACGTATCGCTGATGCATTTACAAGAATAAGAATTATTATTCATCACTCCTGAAATACCTCTCCCACAGATTAAGCACCCGTTCAGAGATGGCCTTACTACCAACCGCATCGTATTTATTTTCATTTCCGCTACAAAAATATCGAATATATTTTTGTTTTCGGCAGCTGCGTTTCCTCTTTGCATGGGTTTATTTATGAATGAAACGAATGAAAGTCGCTAGCCAGCAAATATCAACCAACGTGAGCATGGGAAAGGATACGCTAAGGTCGCTCAGGCACGTCCGATCATATACTACTGAGCCAAAGGACGGTTGCAATGACCTTCAGCGATTTGTTACACAATCGTTTGTATTACAATGTTAACAGAGACTGAACCACTTCCTGTACGTCGCGTACTTTTCAAATTATAAGCTTTGAAAAAATCGGAAAAATCTTCACCCTGTGATGATCTTTTTGCCCATTGCTACAAATCTCATGTTTTTCTTAGACTTACAGTGTCATTCTATCCCGATAGCATTAAATATTTTTAAAAAAATGATTGTTAAATATTTGTAGCGACAGATTTTTTTAATATTTAATAAATATATTTCTTATATATTCATAAAATATGCATTATATATATTTGTAGTATGTATATATAATTCAGATATTTTTGCGATATTTTTTCCAAATACTTAGAAAATATATGAGGAAATATTTTTAAATATCAATTTTATATTTTGATGAAATATCTAATATTTTTCGTAAATATGTATGGATTTTCAAGCATTAATCTGATACATATTTTCAGTGTATATAGAAAATTCTTCATTGGTTATTTAAACAAAATCTGTAGGAATGCTTATAAAAAATTCATTCTAGATAAAATCGTTTAATTTACTAGAAAAATATCATAAAAAACATTCTAAGCCTCTTCTGCATCTTGCAAATCCACTCCTCTGAAAAAAAAAAACTTACTGAGTATGAAGTATTATTGAATACATAAGCTGCTTTCCAGTGGACTTTGGTTTGAAAGAGATTGTCCCAATAATGTAACAGTTGGACGAACACATGAAGCATGCTATCATAGTGAAACTCACAGGCAAAATGGATGCTGGCAAACGGGTCGGCTTGCCATTATGCCATTAGTCGCTCGTTGTCACACGCACATGCGCCGTAGCCGAAAATATTTAATGAATGTTTTCTAAATAATGGAGATTTAATATTTTCCATTGATTGAAAGGTAAATATTTAATGTAAAAGAAATATTGTTTTTAAAATATATGGAATAAATATTTAATGAATATTTCGTGCTATCGGAGTACGTAGTAACAGCAAGGCAGATAGTAACGCCACTTTCATTCATTCGTGAATGTATTTATGAAAGTCTCAGTAAATTTTCAAACTGCCTTTGGTAAATGATTTTGTAAAAAGTCTAAATAAATGTCGCCATTGAAGAACTCTGGCAGCTCAAAGGTACATTTAGAATCTCGGTCTACATGATACAAATAATTCACGTTTTTGACTAAAGTAATCATAATATGTATAATAAATCCGTAAAAATGCGACTAAAGTGACTAAAAATATGTAGGGTGCTCAATTTAAAAAGATAAAACTTCATTTTATAGCATTTTTGTATATTATATGAAAGACATTACCTGGACAACTTTTGAGTACACATTTCGTTTCTATACAAAAAAGTGAAGATGGGATCAATTTAGCGTAAGGTTACTGGTACCAGAATGTTCCCAAATATCTGCTGCTAGGTTTTTAAATTTCTGCCATAAAATTTTATTTTGAGGAAAAAGATCACAACTTCGGCTTTCGATGTTTTTTAACTTTCCGGTTACAAGGTCATTATTTACCGCAGAAGCTCTTTAACCCCTTTCAGCAGATTTAACAGCTGACTTTGATTTGTTTTCATGCTTCAGAGAGTAAAATTTAAGGGGTCGTTACGACCATAGACGGGTGTTTCAAAGGCTTTCCAAAAAATCACATCAAGAAAAGAGTAAATCAAATAGAAAATCGCTGGATAGAGTGATTGATCCTAGGGGAGGTTATAATGACGAAAAAACGTATTCTTATAGATCCTAATTTTTTTGCATGTCGAGTCCAGAAATTTTTTGATTAACTCTTTGATTAACAATGTCTCCTCCTTGTTCCAGCCTGTTCGAACAGGAGATAATGTCGTACGTCCCTGCGTCTACGTCATCGACAACGAATGGTCGTACAGGAGGCAACTCTCCATTGACCTCCTCTCCCGTAGCTTCTCCAGGACCTCCCGGCAGACATCGAACGGCAGCTACTGCAGCTGCCGCAGCTGGAGGACCTCATCACCACAAGAGGGACTTTGAAGCGAAGCTGAGGAATTTTTACAAAAAGCTGGATGTTAAGGGGTATGGGCAGGGACCTGGCAAGTTCAAGTGAGTATGTTAGAATATATATCGGAGATACTTGTTACAACTTTTGTGTGCTTAACCAATCGAGTACGGCGCTGTTTCGTGTTTATTGGCAACCATCAAGACAGTCCAGGTAGGACAACGAACAAAAGCAGAGCAGCAGAGGCGTGAAGTTGATAAACATGCGATAGAATGAATGGTGTTTGTGTTGTTGTATTTCTGTATGAGTTTATTTTCCAGTTTTTTTACGAGCTGAAAGAGTGGTTTATGGTTTTTACAGGGTGTTAAAGAATGTCGTCAGGAAAATTTTAGGACGGATTCAGTACATAGAAATAAAAAAAGTTCATATTACTTGGGTTCAGAAATTGCAAATTTCCATATCTGTTGTTTATTTTTGGGTTATGGGTTTTGTAAAAATAAGTAACATTTTCCCATATTGTTTCTGTTTGGAAAGTGTCACTTTTCGTTATATTCGTTAAAAAAATTACTTTCCCAGTTACTTTTTTTTTAGTAACAATAAACAGATTGAGTGAAACAGGATCAATCTGACCTTAAAGGTCTAATGCTAATTTTGCAAAAACATGTAATAGACTCATAAAAAACGTGACAGGAAATTTTCCATTTTCGTCTGTAGAAGTCTTAAGTGCAATATCCCAGTTTCTATTTTCCTTGTGGAGTTCGAGACACATTTTCCTGAAAAATACTTCATCAAAAATTCTACAAATACTTTCGTTTTAGTTAACTTGTTCTTCCTAAATTCACTGTTGGTTTCTTGATGCATTTATCCTCATAGACACCTCGCTTAGCGTTAAGGAACAAAAAATGTGTGTTTCATACCTGGTTTTAAATTTTCTATAAAGTTGGATGCGCGAAAAAAGATTTGAAAAAGGAACCAAAAAATTATATGGGCACAAAAAAAAATTCGATATTGTTGCACAAGAGGCCATTCATTGAAAACGAGGGACTAGAATAACAAGAACGACTGACGTTGTTCTATTTTTTTTTCGATACTTTTTGTCATCTTATGACTTTTAAATTATAGGCAATTGAATGCATCCATTTTTGGCAAAATATGTTCTCCGGTCTTTTGTACTTAAATATGTCATGAGAAAATTAAATTCGCCTTTAGAGATGAGTCTGGTGTTCTATAGTGAGGCTCCTGTACGTTATTCAGGGTTCAAAAAAAACCTTGAAAAAAACAAAAATCGTATTTTTTTTGTTTAAAAAATTCAAATTTTCGCTAAAAAAAAATGTTCAAAACACTGTTAATACATTTTTCAAACTGTAAAAAAAACTATTGCCTATATAATGTAGCAACGTTAATGTTAAGTTTCTTGAAAGTGTTATTACTATTTTTGATCCAGCTCTATCATTTTCGTCTGTAGAAGTCGAAAGTGCAATATTCCAGTTTCTATATTTCTTGAGGAGTTCGAGACACATTTTCCTGAAAAATACTTCTCCAAAAATTCTACAAATACTTTCCTTTTAGTCAACTTGTTGTTCTTCCTAAATTCTCTGATGTTTTCTTGATGCTTAAGGAACAAAAAATGTATGTTTCATACCTGGTTTTAAATTTTCTAGAAAGTTGGATGCGCGGAAAAAATTTGAAAAAGTCACAAAAAAGTTATCTGGACCCCAATGTTGTTGCACAAGAGGCCATTCTTTGAAAACCAAGAACTAGAATAACAAAAACAACTGATGTTCTATTTTTTTCGATACTTGTTTGACATCTTATGACTTTTATATTATAAGCAATTGAATGCATCCATTTTTGGCAAAATATGTTCCCAGGTTTTTCGTACCATTAAATGTGTGAGAATTAAATTCGCCTGTAGAGAGTAGTCTGGTGATCTATAGTGAGGCTCCTGTACCTTACTCAGGGTTGAAAAAAAACGTTTAAAAAAAAACAAAAATCGTGTTTTTTTTTTGTTTAAAACTGTTTTTTTTATTTATAAATTCAAATTTAGCTGAAAAAAACATGTTTAAAATACTGTTAGTACATGTTTCAAACAGTGAAAAAAAACTAAAAACTATAGCCTATATAATCTAGCAACCTTAATGTTAAGTTCATTGAAAGTGTTATTACTATTTTTGATCAAACTCTATCAGAGCACATCTCTAATTCAAAAACGGACGTCGGGAAACTACCGTGCGGACTTCGGGGAAGTACCGTTTGCCTTTGGGTAATTTTTCGCGTTGCGATCTCCAGCAGTCAAATGTGCGAAGTCGTAGCGTGGTGGTGTGTTTTGTTTTTTGTGCATTAAAGATCGGCAAAAAAGGCAATTACAGGGAGGAGAAAGGATCCCGTGTGGAAATATTTTAAGGAGACTGATGCCAAAGCTGACTCGAAAATAAATAAAAGAGCAAAATGTTTAATCTGCAATATTGATATAGTGCCACTGGTGGCTAGAATGCGCAAGCATATTAAATATTGTAAACAACTTAAACGAGGAAGTTTGTTAGAAAAACAAAATATTCATATATCAGACAGTTCAAAACAAATTGGTTTAAAACACCTTCATTGTTTTAAACAGTGTTCAGGAATAACTTTTTCCATCAAGCAAACGTTAAAAAAAACATCTCTTCTCGAGATGTAGTTGAACTGTATTAACCGTATATTAGCTATTCTACTTCCTTGTTTTCAATAGTTGTCCTCCCAGACTATAGCTATTGACAAAACTATTTTAAAGCCATTACACTACCAGCTCTCAATGTTCCTTTTGTTTTCAGACTACATATAAGGCGAGATCATCTGCTAGAAGATGCTTTTCGTAGAATAATGTCTGCTGGCAAGAAAGAACTCCAGAAGGGCAAACTTTGCGTGGCATGGGACGGAGAGGAAGGCTTGGACTACGGAGGACCGTCCAGGGAGTTTTTCTTCCTACTGAGTAGGGAGTTGTTCAACCCTTACTACGGGCTGTTCGAGTATTCTGCGAACGATACGTACACTGTGCAGATATCTCCTATGTCGGCGTTCGTCGACAACTATCACGACTGGTACGTATCAGAAAACGTTTAGCAGGTCGCACAGTCACACCTAGCACGTCTAGCAGTACTCAGTTTTCATACCGAGTGCCCCGAATAGTAGCTATTGAGTCATCAAATTTCTTGCAGAACATTTCAACAAGCTTGTAATGAAGTGTTTGTGAAGCTCATGTTTCATAGGGTAATTTTTAATCATTTATGGGATTGGTTCTCTTTATGTATTGAAATGTTAAGGAAGAAGTCAAAACAACGGAAACTGCGAATTTATAAACAGGAGACGTCAAAATGTGCTGGATACTCGGCTTACTCAACTGTAAAGTTACCAAAACCAACGTACATTTTAGGTTAGAAAATCCTCCTTAAGCCGAGGAATTCCTCGACTTCGCTCATCTGTTTGTTTGAGTTCCACTCAAGTTTTAAGTGTATCTGGTGCAACAAAAATATCGGATTTAAGAATCAACTCATCTCAAAGTCGACCTTAGCAAGGCAGTGGAAGCAGTCATTGACTTGTCATCCGTAGGTTGTTAGCTAAGTTAGTCTAAGTTACTTTTTAAACCTGACGTAAGTGCCTAACTTTACTAATTAATTTTATTTTCAGGTTTCGTTTTAGTGGTCGCGTGTTAGGCCTAGCGTTAGTTCACCAGTACCTTCTAGACGCTTTTTTCACCCGTCCTTTCTACAAGGCTCTCCTCAGGCTACCGGTGGCTCTCTCGGATCTAGAGAGTCTCGATCACGAGTTCCATCAGTCTCTAAGGTGGATTCGGGAGCATGATGTCTCTGCTGTGCAGGTAGATACAAAAACTATTATGTTTGAAACACTTTTATTCGTATAGGTTGTCACTAAGGAGAACAAACACGATGCCTTGTTGGTCTAGCACAGTTAGTTGTCTCAAAGCGTGTTCTCACTGGTCGATTTCAGTCGTATGATTTTTAAATATTGTCGTATTGGAACTTCACTCAATTAGTATAGAACATATTTGAACAATCGATCGCAAATTATAAAATTATCAGGACATTATATTTCAAAACATTTAAATATAAACGCTAGTTTAGCTTACGATGGTGGTCCCATAAGTACCCGACCCAACGAAGAAAACACAAAATTTTTGTAAAAAATGTATTTATTTTTCAACATAATCTCCTTTGAGCTCTCTATACACTTTTCCCAGCGATGTTCAATAAGTTCGATACCCTTTTTATAATAAGAACTGTCTTGCTCCTCAAAATAGCCATTAACTGCCGACATCACTTCTTCATCGTTCTAAAATCTTTGACCACTGATCCATTTTGTGAAGTTTGGAAACAGAAAATAATCTGAGGGGGCTAAATCTGGTAAATAGGGTGCATGAGGTAGCAATTCAAACTTTAATTCGTTAATTTTGGCCATTGTAATAACGGATTTGTGAGCTGGTGCATTGTCTTGATGAAACAACACTTTCTTCTTAACCAAATGTGGCTGTTTTTGCTTGATTTCATCGCTCAAAAGTTCGCATAATAATCGCCGTTGATAGTGTTACCTTTTTCAAGATAGTCAATGAAAATTATCCCACGCGCATCCAAAAAAACCGACGCCATAACCTTGCCTGCAGATGAAACGGTCTTCGCCGTCTTTGGAGCCGGTTGTCCCTTTTGAATCCATTGTTTTGATTGTTCTTTTGTCTCGGGTGTTTCATCCATGGTTATGAAACGACGCAAAAATTCTGCTTTGTTGCTATGAAACTTCGCTAAACACTGAATTGAAACATCTTCACGACACTGTTTTTGCTCGATTGTGAGAAATCGCGGCACCTATTTTGCACACAGCTTTCTCATGTCCAAATTTTCAGATAATATGCGATGAACCGCACTTTTTGAAATGCCTACTATGTCTGCTAGCTCGCGCACTTTCAGTCGACGATCATTCAGTACCGCTTTGTGAATTTTCTTCACCATTTCTGGAGTCGTCACCTCATTTGGTCGACCACTGCTATGCTCGTCTTGGCAGCTCATACGGCTTCGTTTAAACTCTGCTACCCAATATTTTACTGTTGTAAACGAAGGAGCAGACTCACCCAGAGTAGAATCCAGATCAGCTTTTATATTGGTTGGGCTCAGGCCCTTGAAATAAAAGTATTGTACCACATAACGATGACCAATTTTCTCCATTTTCACAAATTCGCTGCAAACGTTCAGTATTGATGGCTGCCAAACAAATACTAAAGAACGTGGCGTCTTCAAACTTGACACATATGCTTTATAGGTTGCATACTTTCTAACACAATGATATTTTTCAAACAACTATCGCCATCTCTAGGTCAGGCCGGGTACTTCTGGGGCCATCCTCGTATATCAACGATTCAATAAACTTGAACATAAATGGTAAATTCGTAGTTTTCAATCAAAAATCGTGTAACAACAATTACTTGACTTTTAATGTTAATGAGGCAAAATTTATGACTTTTGAATGCTCCTTTGATTTTATAAGTTTAAATGATAATTGATCATAAATTAGATCTTACTAATCATGAGGACAAATTGCATACCTAACTATAATTTATCCAACTAAGTATGGAGTAATAAAACAAGTGTCAGGGCAGCCCGATTTACACCGCCCAACTACCTGGAAAACCGATAATGCGTTATCTCCAGTGGCGGATAGGTTTTAAAATTCATTAAGGTAGCATTTAATTTATTTTCACTGTTTCTTCTATCTTTTCATTACTTTCAAGGTTTATTACATTGATATATTAAATATGCTACCCCAGTTTATGATTCTTTAACTTTACATCTTTTTAATATAATACCTAATAATGATGCTTCCTGGATTCATTACCACGTTTTAAAGATATTCCGCTATGAACTTGAAAACTTTTTATATAATCATTATTTTTCTTCTTCAGGGGGAATTAGAATTAACTTTTGCTGTAACAGAGGAAGTTTTCGGCCAAGTGACTGAAAGAGAGCTCAAGCCTGGTGGCAGAAACGTACCTGTCACGGAGAAAAATAAAAAGGTAAGACATTGTTGTGATTACCACTATGATATCGCTGGATTTTAAAACACTTGTACTGACAAGTGCTCATTTTAAACATTAGGCCAGGCGCTGGATGGAATTGAGTTTGCAAAATATACGGACCGTACTTTATGAAGAGATAGCAACCGAGAGGAGGTCAAATAATAATATTCCAGATTCCAATTTTTTAATCTCATCCTCTTTTAACTATTTACAAAAACGTTTTCGTCACTCAGACCATTTTTTTCTGATTTGTCGGTTCAATCCGAACAAGCACGGTTCGCAGTTTTCGAGCTATAAGCCACTTATTGTCTGAAAAACCCTGGAAATCGTCATCTTTAATGAATAAAACTGCGGTTAGAAACCATTATTTTTCAAGCTGCCAAGTATCTCGTTTTCCCTATTTTCTTAAAAATATTTACTGTAACGTGCGTCAAGAAACAATAGTTTATGTCAAATTCCACGCCAGCATGCGGAAAATTTTACTTTATTTACACCAAACTATGTAATGTCTTTTTCACGAGTATCCATTACGGTAGTATAATGGTTCAGTAACTGAGAGGTAAACAGTCCATTTTGATTCAATTTTGAGGTATTCTAATATATTACCTCAAAATTAAAATATCAACTAGACTCTTTTTTGTTAAGCACCACCTTTTTAATGTTGATGTTTTTAATTTTGAAAATACGATATGCCCGTTGTTGAAGCTGTATTGAAATTTTTGTTTGTTTTATGAATTACTCCAAACTTTTAGTTTTTACACTTCGGATACAGGTACAAATATTTTGCATGGTGATGCAGAAAATTAATATTTTTGAAATCTCAACTAACAAAGAACAAACTATATTTCTAGCCTGAATTCTTTTTTGGGTCCTAGCTGTACCCTCAAAATCCTTGTATCATTACCAGTCAGTCAATACTAGCCCCGCTCTCCATTTTTCTTGAACAATCTGTATGTTTCTATCACATGATGATTCTTTTATTACAGGAGTATCTGGAGCGCATAGTTCGTTGGCGGTTAGAACGCGGCGTTGCAGAGCAAACGGAATCGTTGGTTAGAGGCTTCTACGAAGTGGTCGATCCACGATTGGTGCAGGTGTTCGACGCGAGAGAATTAGAATTGGTGATCGCGGGTACAGCGGAGATAGATCTGGCCGATTGGAGGGCTAACACTGAATACCGGGGAGGATATCATGATCAGCATCCTGTCGTCGTTTGGTTCTGGCAAGCCATCGAAAGGTAAGCCAACACTTTCCAGAAACATGTTTCGTTGAGATACAGTATGTGTTCCTAAGGGAAAAGGAAATTGAAAGTATGTCAAAAGTACCTATGAAAAGAGTTAAAAAATAAGCACTGGGCAATGCCATCAGGTAGTAGTAAAAATATTTAGCAGTAGAAATATGCATTGAGCACTTTTGTACAATTGTAGATTAACATGTGATTCCTCAATTTTACTTTAATTTGGTCAAAGTATTCAGGTCTTTTGTTTCAGTGTTTAGGTTAACGAAATTCTTTTTGATATTTGAGTTTTATATTATAATATAAAATCTGCGGTAAATAGTACGACAAAAAAATGGGGAAGATTAGCGAAAGGCAGATCTACAACATACCAAAAAATGACCCTAGTGAAAGTGTCACTGTTTTTGAGATATTGATTTTTTTTCTTTTTCGAATTTGTTTTTCGTTTGATCTACCATTTGTCGCAGGAATTTGCAGTAGCAGCATTTTTATTTCATTGCTGAATACCAAAGTTGAGTAAAGTAGTTTTCTAAAATAAAAATTACGAAGAAGAAGTTAGTTTGTCAAGTTTACCTACTTGTATTTATCGAAAATGATAATTCAAATGGCACACTAACTGTCTGAGAGTATTTTGCAAAAAAAAACATATCCTGTTTTTTCTATGCATAGTTAAAAAAGAGAGATAAAAAAGTAATATCTCAAGACATTTACTAGTCATTTTTTGGTATGTTGCAGATTTGACCGTCGCCTGTCGTCCCTATTTTTTGTCGTACTATTTACCGGACACCCTGTATAATTATACTCCATATATGTGTGTTTGATTGGGCCAGACAATCGAGTCCTAATGAACATAAAATCTGCATGAAGTTTGAGGAGATGTCATATTGTGAAGAATACCTATGTCTGATATCTGTGGATTACGGCTTATTGACGTAGATCATGAATTCGAGTAGCCCATTAAATTAACACTTTTGACCTAACAAAAATTCTACGTATAGTATGATAATGAGATATTGTTCTTTAGTCTAACGGAAAGTTCAAAGATCCTGCGGTAGGCGATACATTAATTCCAGTTAGTGGATCAGTAGGAAAATTCAAGATGTAATGAATAATGAAATGGACAAAGAATGAATTTAATATGAAAAAATATTTAAATTTATGATCATAGGTTCGAAAAATAATTGCAAGAAATCAGTGTATTTAAATTTGTCAATGAAAATTGAAGGAGAGGTGCTTGATTTTGTAGGTAGTTTTACATATTTAGGTATTATAATAGATCAGCAACTAACCTTCAACAATCATATTGAGTATATCTGTCGGAAATTAGGCAAAAAGATCGATTATTTTCGTTTGAGACGAGTCCCTGGTGTAGAAGGGCAGTCTAGAGTACAATAATTTTTCACTTTTGATTACAAGCACAAATGAGAAAAAGCCAAGGGTACAAATTCTAATAAATAATCTTTTTCTTAAATTGTGCCTTGTACACCGCTATCCGGGATATTTCTGTTAAATACATTGAATTTTTCAAACATACACCAAATCATTCAAGATGCAAATTTAATTCTTTTATACGAAACTATCAATAATCAGGCTCCATCTGATCTTGAACAGTTTCTAATAAAAGATTTGAAATGCAAGGATATGACATTAGATCTAAAGAAAATTTCCATATACATACAAAGATTTAAAGCTAAAGGTTTAGAAAAGTCAATGTTTGTTGAAGGTCTAAAAATGTACAACAATCTTCCTGTTATTATAATAACATGTAGTAATGCTATAATTTTCAAAAAGAAACTTCGGAGAGACCATTTTGGTTTGAATTTTTAAATTTAACAACTTTTTTCTAAATATATTATTGCTTGAAGTAGCTTAAAGCTAGTCTCTAGTCTATTCTGTTTCCTTGTAGCAGTAATATTATCACGATATATCACACAAACTGTCCCTAAAATGTAAAGGTCCTATCGTCAGTCGTTCCTACAATTGTAGGATGGCTTTGTGGCCTCCTTGATTTTGATAGTATTTTTCCTCCTTCAGAAAGGCTGGAGTAATTCTAGATTTCTACTTTCACACTTTCCTATTGTGCAACTATGTTTTCTTTTAAAATTGTAGGAAATTTCAGGCTGATATAACAGATATAAATCAAAAGCATGAACAATTTAATACAAATAGATTTTATAACATAATCTCAAAATAGAACGCTGACATGGAACAGTAGAAAACTATGAAAATCAAAGAGGTCATAAAGGCGTCCTACAATTCTAGGAATTCTGACTGACGATACGACCCTAAATTGATGAATTGACAGAAGCATACAATAGTAGTTCCTAAATACATACTGCTCTTAGCGTAATCTTGGTTCAAGTATCGTGGCTTTACTATACGCTGATGAGGTCGTATAACATAAAAATAATGTGTTCCCACGACTCAGGAATTAGGGGCAAGGCTTATAACATCGTGAAAAGTTACCTTTCCAACAGAACACAGTGCGTTCAAATAAATAATTCCTTAAACACAAACAAATTGATAACGTATGGTGTCCCACAAGGGACAGTGTTAGGCCCCTTATTATTTACACTTTACATTAATATACTGCTGAGCTTAAAATCTGAAGGGATAATCATATGTTTTGCAGACGATACTGCTATCATTTATTCAGATAACAACGCGTGGGATGACCTAAAAGTGAAGGTTGAAAGAGACTTGAGAATAATTGCAGGCTGGTTCAGACATAAATGCCTAACTTTTAACTTTCAAAAGACTATGTTCATGCCATTCACAAATCACAGAAACAAATTACCATCCTTTGTATCTATACAGATTAACTGTGATAATATAAATACTCAAATAAATTTAACAAACAAAATCTACACAAATATTTGGATAAAAAAAAATGAAAATTTTATATCATGCTATGATCGAAAGTCGTATAAGTTACGCAATATTAGGTTGGGGTGGAGCACTTAATAACCAAATTAATAAATTAGAAATTATCCAAAAACAATTTAAAAAAATAACCTTTGACAAGCCACTCTGATCTGTTGTATTCTGAAGCAAAACTATAGGCAACAATTTTTTTATATAATTATAAATAATCCATTTCACCATAGAAATAATCTTATTCCGTTGGATCACTTATATCAAACTAGAAACAAAATCAACAACATAAAGCAAACACCTTTCACTTCAAAAAGTATAGGCCAAAGATGTCATATTTACCTTTCCAGTAGATTATATAATATATTACCAAATTATATAAAAAATATTTCGAATAAAACAATTGAAACAAAAAAATTTATAATTGAAAAAACCGGAATTCAGTTTATTTACGTATACCGATGTTAGTTTTAGTTATTTTGTATGTTACGTAAATAAACTTATTATTATTATTATTATTATTATTATTTACCAACCAACTGAACCTATCTTATGTTTTATTGCAGGTTTACGAACGAGCAGCGTCTTCGCCTGCTCCAGTTTGTCACAGGCACGTCGAGCGTCCCTTTCGAAGGGTTCGCCGCTTTACGGGGCAGCGTGGGCCCACGCAAGTTTTGCGTGGAAAAATGGGGCCGACCGAACAGTCTCCCACGTGCGCACACCTGTTTCAACCGGCTCGATTTGCCTCCATACCCCACTGCAGAAACGTTGTACGACAAGTTGCTGTTGGCTGTTGAAGAGACGAATACGTTCGGTATCGAGTAGATTCGTAGTATGAATGTGGCTTTTGCTCTCATCGTTTATTGTATGTATGCGCGGATATGATAAATTGGGTAAATGGCGAGGGGTACGTGCTAGAGATGCCGCTGCTCAATTAAAGATGGCGGGTAGAGAGGAGTTGATTGGAATTTTGTAATTTTAGCCTCACACATAACGTCGATTTCTCGACTATCAAAAACGGGTTGAACATGTCGTCGCCCTATGTAACAAACTGCTCTGAGACACAAAATGGTCCTAACAGACGATTTATGCACGCGATTTGTTTCACATGACAACGTCGCACGACAAGATCGTGCGTTTTGAAAAAGTCGTACGATATTTCTCTTGACGTGCGGTTTCTAGATTATGTCGCACGACAAGAAATCTGTCAAAAGGCACGACCTTGTCGAACGATACAAATTGCATGAATAAATGTGTTCAAAGTTGAAGAGGAAGTCGTATTTTGAGCACGTCACATAACACCATTTATGGGGGAACTCCTATGTAATTGTAATCACATTTTTTGGACAAAACAGTAAGGAAATTTCTCACAAATGTTGACGCGGAAAGTTGTTGTAAGCATAATACTGGAACGCGCAAAATTTACATTTGGAGCTTGATCTCGGAAATGTAAACCGAAGTAACACGAAATCATAGGAAACACAAAATCACATCTAATAACTTTTTGCCCATTTTTATGACCTATACTGGTTGCGTTTTCCTCAAGCAACCACACACACTTTCAAGGTCTAGACACAATATTAACCCTAAAGTTGAACATCTTGTTCAACATAATATCCTTGAAATTCCAAAGTGCCCAGGATTTTCAGTCACTCAAGTCTCAAAGTAAAATGAGTGTGCAACCATACCTCAAGTGCTTGATCTTTTTGGTGGGTTGTGAAAGGATAATGTAACTTTATTTGGTGCTTTGAATCTAGGACCATATATATAACAAACGCGGGCAACTTCTTGAATCCACTTTTTACTAATAAAACCTTGTCCCAATATAAAATCTGCCATCGTTGATACTATGCGGATAAACATCGAAGGTCACGATATCCAAGAGCTCGATTTTCCCTACATACGTACCTCTCTCCAAAATTGAGATATTTAAAAATTATATCTTTATCTCTGTTTTCAGTGTTGAAGCTTTTATTGAAGTTGCAGGATCAATTTCTGTATGTAAAGCTCATTGTGCATATGTTGCATAGGAAATCTACGAGAAACAAATCACAGAACTGCATCTTTTCGTATATACCGTTGACTCTTTAATTGGCCTTTATACTTAGGGCATATGTTTTCTATGGATTCTGAGAAAGTCAGGGATATTCGAATTGTTTTCGACACTATTTTGCTTACCTTATGGTGGCTCTAAAGTATCGAAGACCACACGTTCTGTTTCTGACATATTTCAATAGATCTTTTAAAAATGGTTTGGATCTTTGGATGACGAGATAAAAAATCACTATTATGTTAAAATTGAGAATCGCAATCAAGCCCACGCATAAAGGAGTATTTAAGGTGGCACGGCCCTTTTTTAGATTTCTTTTGAACTTCGTTTCCTTTGCATCTGATATTTTGAGGGTGTGTATAGAGATCACTAAAAAACAACAATGTTTTTATTTTTTTGTCATAAATGCATTTTTTGCATTTTATTCTGCATTCCTTCTTCTATCGGAACTTACGTTAACAAATATAAGGGCAGCTCTGAAATTATGTTAGAATGAAACGTTGATTGCTTTTCTTCTTATCACTTTTCCTTTTCGAAAAATCTTTGCTTTTCTTGAAAACTCAACTTGCTGCGAGACGAGGCTTCAAGAAAATCAAAGATTTCTCGAAAAGGAAAAGTTATAAGTACAAAAGTAATCACTCGTTTCATTCTTCCATAAAAGAAGAATATTTACACACAATTTCAGAGCTGAACTTACATTTTTTGTTAACAAGTACCGATTGAAGAAAAAATGCACAATGAAATGCATAAAAATGCATTTTTTGATAACAAAAATGAAAACATTGTTTTTTAGTCATCTCTACACATACCATGAAATTATCAGATGAAAAGGATTCAGAATACTGCGCAAGTAGGAAGTTGAAAAAAAAATCTAAAAAAGGGACGTGCTACTTTAAGAATTATGATTTATTAGTATATTGTTTGATATTGCGATTACTTGAACCTTAGAAAGGCATAGTGAATTCAAATGTCGTGATTTTGTCGAAACACCTGGTTTTAATCTTCCTTATGGGTCATGTCTTTTTCGGAATTTTATATTAACAACGTAATATTATATTATTAATTAATAATATTTTTGTAATCTGAAAACATCAGCCGCAGTTTTAGCGGTATCGGCATACCAAATACTATTCCGTCCATCCCTTGCAAACAAATTAAATTACTATAGCGCTAACGTGGGATTCGATCTCAGATTAAAAAAAAACTTAATTACATGATACTAAACTCAGAAAAAAATAAATATAACCTGCTATTCCGACATAACCATGACGTCATCTGAATTCACTGTGGTGTTCCATGTGAAAGCAGCTCACCTTTGCAAGGGTCGTGTAGTCGCAATGTAAAAAAAAATATTTTTGGATCAATAGTCTCAAATCCTTGAATCTCGCTTAAGATATTAGCTTAATTACGACCCTTGATGTTGATAACAAACGTTAAGGTGAAAGCTGCTTCTGTCTCAGAAGACCCAAAGGGGGTGACTATCCTATTAGGGTCCGGTAAATTCTCGGTCAAGGAGCGACTGCCCTGTAGGGTGGAGTGTTAATGACCATTGAGATTAAAGTGCTGCAAAGCTATCATTGCTTGAATGCACCCACTCTTTCAGTATACAATGCTGGCCATAGACTTTTCTCTGGCCGATCTCCATGTGTGCAAGAGAGAGAAAGAGATGCGTGCAACACGTATGTTAGAAAAAGTGCGCCACAACCACGTTATTGTCGTTCTCAAGGAACATGATCACTACACTTGGTTGTCGCACCCACTCTAACGCGTTGCGTTGCACGTTTCTTTCTATCTCTCTCAGACAAACACTAAAATCAACCAGGGAAAATGTCTACTATTCATTTCTATGTATGCACTTCAATTTCAATTACTAAGTGTTTCCATAATCAAAAAGAATTACCTTTTGATACTTCCTGCCTGTCTATTTTTGACTATTATAGATATTTTCCACAAACGCTGATTTCTTATGCCGTATGCAACCCTGCTATTCAAAGATGCATGGAACATTTTTATATTTTCTATTTGTGTACGTTCATAACTGTATTGTAATGATGGAACCATGTGCTCGATACTCGCGTTTATTTGTTCATTATTTGTGAATCGCTTATGTGTTTTTGTTTGTTTCATTTTGTAAAATAGGAGTATTTATTTTCTGTTTCCATATTATATTTTGCATATTGTCAGGGAGATTGATACTATTATTTATTTGTAATTCTTATTAAGTTACCAATGATTATTTTGTACGTAGTGTAGATATATCGAATTAATGTGATTTATGTTATTCTAGTCAGTAAATTATGTAAAAATGACAGCATACCACGTGGCACAAAAATTACTGACGTACTGTATGCTGTTTACCACTTTTCTATATTGTCGGATTCGAAATATGAAGCTTTAATACCCTCTCCAGACTCACGCGCGAATCACGGCGTGAAATCGCGGCTCGGATCGCGGTGCGAATCCCGAAATTTCTTCCTACAGTTCCACACTCGCAGATGTTCGCGCCTGCTTCACAGTATAGTTCGCGGTCTTGACGAGTATGGATGGTGAAATTGCTACTGCTGCTGCAGTGCTACTTTGCGCTTTGGCATTTTATAATTACGCATATATAAGTAAAACTAGAGCAATTGAAAATAAGTGGAAAAAACACAACCACTCCCGATACTCGCTATGAGGCAACTGAACCACCAGCGAATGTGGAGCCTAGTCATGTTCGCGCCTTGCGAACCCTTTGTCGCGGGACAAAAAACCGACAACAAACGGGAACAACGCGCGAACGCGACGTGAAGCCGCGAAGAATACGCGAATGGGATCCACACTCATGGATCGCGGGTAGTTCGCGGCTTCGCGCGCGAATCGCGGGTGAGTCTGGAGAGGGCATTAGAGATGTTTGTTTCTGAAACAAGATATGTAACATTCCAAAAAATAAACTTGTTATAACAAATCGCTTTTTATTGTCAACCATGGCCATACCTAGAGCAGCTTTACAATAATAACAGAACTGCCCTAAGCTAGAAAAATGGTGACTGCTAAACAGCCCAGAATCATCCCGAACGATACCGTCAAAAAAATTGTCAAATTTCGCATTCTCCAACGTCCAAGATCAATATTACGAATTAGATTTGGCTTTGTTGAAGAACAAAGCGTCCTCCACCTTACATGAATTGGAGCTTACTAAATGGAATTCAGCAGCCCAAGCCCGAGGTAGTCATTCAAAATGTTGGACTTTGTGGTGGCTACCGATAATCAGCGCCATCTATTGGATAGTAGCCGAATAAAAAAAGAAATTTTTTTAATAGTTTTAATAATGGCACGTAGATGGAGCTCTAAAAGCTTGCTATCATAGGCCTCATAAAATTTAACTAGTCAAATGAATGTATTAGAGATGGTCGGTCGGGGCTTGGGATGGTTATATGGCAACGCATCCTCCAATGATCAAGAAACTTAAATTGCCGTGAAGGGGGTTTAAAATCACCCATTTTTAGTGTAAGTAATTGTATTAATAGAAAGAATAGCGTATTATTTTGCTTTGTTGGAAAACAAAGATTCTACCCCCTTTCCATATTCGAGATTTACTGAAGCTTTGTTCATTTGCTCCAGGTAGTCATTGAAATATGTGAGGCGTGTGATATAAAGACATTAGCATCGCCCTCTGTTGCACGATAGCTGAATTAAAATTACACTTTTCGTAGGCAAGTTTTTGCGGCCATGTTAGCAGCTAGTTTGGATTTTAAAAGAAAACAATGTACCTCAAATTCTCCAAACGACTCTTCCTTTTGAGGTGTTTGCAAAGACAAACTTGCAAGGGCTAGTTGTCAGTTAACAAACACTTAGGCAGCAAATTTCACCAGACTATTTCCATCCGCGCCATCGACTACTCGGTGCACGTACCTGGTCAGGGTTAGAAATGAAAAACATCAGATTCTTAATTATAATCTTTATTCATATTTAAATCATACGATAAACTGTGAACGTAACTTAGCAGACCGACTTATCTATTAAGTGGCACTGAACAGTCACAATTCGGATCATCCACAAAAAAATGCACAAGTGACATACACTCACAACATGTGATAACAATCGTGACGTCAACCCTCCAACCAGTCTGATCAATACAGAAACAGAGTAGGCTGTAGTGTTAACGATACAAACATGATTAAATTCATAACAGGAATTTACCGATCCGTCTTATTTTTGTAGTCGTTAAGGCATCCTTAAATTTTTGAGCGGATTAAGTAAGCAAGCTGGGTGGTATAAACAACAACTTGAAAGATAGGAAAAATGGGTACCAGCGGGATTTGAACCCTTTCCGTGGAGTCGGCCTAACCAGTTAGTCTACGGCACCAGCTGCCAACCAACTTCCATAATCGACTGTTAGAAACCAATTCAATCCTAACTACGCCACTGTTCTTTGTTCTTTCAAGCTGCTTGATTGCCACATCTTTCGACGTTCAAGTGAAACAAACCGGTTCCAATCGCTTTCTTGTTGCACCACGGCGTCTCGTGGGCACACACCACGGTACCCACCTTGAATACGTAAAAAATGTTCCAAGGATTTTTTTAAACATATAGCGACATGTAACGACCCAAAATAAGACGTAAGGAAAAACTCATTTTGAATACAACATACGCACAGGTGACATATTCGTACTACCCCGCTATGAAAAACTGAAATGAAATTGAAAAATCATCTGTTGAAAAGTTAAATGAAACATACGGGTAGGAGTTACGAATATGTCTGATATGACCACAGCCCAAAAATATTTTTCCATGCATAACAAAGTACTATCACCTAAATTTATACAATACGTCTAGTAATGATACTAAAAAATAAAAAATAAAAAGGAAAATATCGGGAATACAGCTATCGATATTTGAAGTGTGGTAGCTGTAACGTTCCATTCAAGTTGTCTTATACTTTGCAATGCCTCACTCACTATCAATTTTTTTAATGGACGGATTCAAAATTTTTGATGGTTAATTTCTTTTGAAATCCCTTAAAATCAACATACAATTAAAAAATTTTCAACAGTTAAAAAACCAGGTTTTCAATTAAGAATTTTTTATCCAGATATTAGGAGTATTTACTTCTTGATACTACAATACACAACTGATTCCCTTCAAAATGATGACTGACTGAAAAATTGCAGAGTACAAAATTAGCTAATAAGCATCATCTTCTTGATAAACATTCTTGGCAGGTCATACTGAGTTGCTGTATTTTAATATATTCTGAATATCTACTATAACAAACTGGAAACCTTCATGATTTCCAACTCTTAAATCTCTCTGTACGTAATTTCGATCTAAAAATTCTCCAGCACAAATCTCGCCTTTAGAAGATTTTTCCCAGAGCCTGATCTCATGCATAAACTAGGCCTAGTCAGAATCTTTTAACCGCGGATTATGCTCTCTGCAACAAAACTCAAACGTAATTTATATTATTATATAAAATGTAATGTTATCATTAAATATATATATAATAGTATGTATATCTGAACACCGCTTTACATTATTTACTTAACTAAGTAATACCTTGGCTATGTACAATGAAAACACCCTGTGTAAATAATAATTTAAAGAGGCACAACTTTGTGTGTTCATGTACAGAGCATCTCAAAATATATACGGGCAAAAAGAAATAATAAGCATTCCCATGTGCAAGCGAAGAGCCCTCAGTGGTCCAGTACTAACTGAATGATTACATTTTAGAAAATAATCATAGTACCATAGTTTTTTCTTACAAGGGTGTAACGTCTTATACCCTTCGGTGCCGTAGCTTCAGGTGTTGGTAGATACTTGGTAGTGTAGTACATATTCAAAAAGTGCACAACTTGACAGAAAATAAGAAAGATATTTCTCTCGAAAGGGTCAGTATCATCAAATGCTTCAATGCGAGAATTGACAATGTGTTCCGTAAAAATCTGTCAACCATGTGGTTTACTTTCACCGACAAATTAAAAATTTTATTAAACAAAAACTAGAAATGCTCATATTTAGTTGCACAAAAACGCGAAATCTCATCGAGTGAAGATTCCATACGACTTCATTCATCATCACCAATTTCCCAGAAAATGATTAAATACGCATGATTTACAATGAAATTTGCCAGTTGAATTAATGCTGTATTTTTTTACGGCAATCATCATCCAATAACATGAACAAACTATTAAATGAGGTAATTAATACAAATGACAACTGATATTATATTAATATAAAAAAACAGCAATTCCGCAATACTTACAATTAAATGATGATAAATACTTTTGTAAAATCAGCTAACAAAAAAAATTACAGGCTGCCTGTTATTATGTAACGAGAAATTTCTCCCTTATTTAAAATTGTGCACCTTAGCACTTTAGGAATATATGACACTAGTAAGTATCTTTCAATACATAAATCTGCGATCAAATCGGCGACTCGAATGGAGTAAGGGCTCCTTGTTTGAAGTTGAGCTGTTCTTTGATGATAGAGCATTTTATTCTTGAATTCCAGAATTTAAGTTGTCTTTATATTGATAAAATATTTTGAAACGCTCCATATCACAGTTTCTTTTCACGGTTAGAATGGAGAAAAACCACTGGAAGTAAGTGACTAGTGTAAACTAATACAGATATAGATATCGTAAACGGTTTCCTTCAACAAACTGAAGTTATACAGGGCGTTCCTCAATGATGTGTTTCTTGGACCCATTTTAAGAAAAAGATTCATTCGAACGTATGTCGTAAACGTCTCAACTTTTAAGATGCAGGGTGGAAATGTTTTCAGACAAAATCTTAATTTTATAATAACTGATATCTTTATGAAATTTGGTGAACGTTTCCTATGCATCAAGACGGATCTTATGATGTACAATTTTATTATTTCTACTAGTGGCGTCCGTACGGGTTTTGCATTGAATATCTTTCGAAAATCATCTCCCATTTTTGAACAAATTTGATCTCTTGATTTTCTTTCGTGCGACGCACAGTTTTTACTTAAAAAAATAAAAATCGTTTTACTTCACGATAATGGTAATTAAATATAAATTCTACGACGCGATTTTTTAACGGTAAATACTTCAGTCTGTTGTAGGCAAGCTGCTACGATGCATTTTGTTGATGACATATGGAAGCGAAAGGATATAAATGAATAACAAAATAAATTGTAAATGTGCTAGAGATAAAGGGAAATATACAGCAAAAACATAAATTAAACATTCTTTTGCGCATTCACTCACGTAAAAATATAACTGATACGGCTTAGAGTGAGACGGTGGCAAATTTTTCGTTTATATTGAAAATGGACGAGGAACTAGTACTGATAAGTACGATGCAGTTGTTGTATACAGTACGTAGTTGTTTGTGAATTGTACGAGATCCTAAAATGGACTGTAACACCATTTTGGTGTTATTAAAAATCTAAATAAATGCATAAAAATGTACGTTGGAATTCTTTAAGGCAGTACACGTTCTATTTTAAATGCGTTCTTTACTATTTTAACGTTGGAAACATTTTATTTTTTAACTTGTATATAAATTTTCCTAAGTTCATCTAAGTCTTCTACATACAGTAACACTTACATATATATTAAATTTTTGCAACAATGAAAATAGCTACTTTTATAAATCCGCATAATTCCTGGATAATGTTTAATGATCCCACATATTGAATACGAGTACAGGGTGAATACTAGGGTGAACTGCAGTTAGTATATTGGCGAGCAAAAATACCCTGTTCATTAAATTGTTAAATATTCGGAATAGATTCCGAATATCAGTAATAGAGACTCTGATATCGAAATCAAATAACTTGGTTCCTAAAATGGCTGGTTCATATTTGTGGCAGTCTAAATACATGAATAAACTATCGATACTAAGTTGTCCACCCAACTCATTTGAAAGCTGTCTGTTTGTTTGGGTCGAAATTGAAACACCCAAATTACAAAAAAACATCGAAAAAGGAAAGCAAACACCTGCATTAGGAGGTGGAGACACAACTGAACCAAATAACCAGTTTAAGAATGGCATGTAATTTTGATAAACAGTTTTGAGGTGTACGATCGAAGATGCAATTTTCTGAGAGACAGTGACCTCAGTAAATCAGCTTTCGAACTTGGTGAGCAATTTGGTTTCCGACTTCGTTGTTTCAAATATGTTGTCAAACCAAAAGGATGAAAATATTTATGCCTGATTTTAAAATTAACGTCCTTTTTTTCGCTTTTTTCCAACTACCTGTTTGCAACAGCTTTCTAAATAATTTTAAGCTGACTACTTCATGATGAGTATAGAGATGACTGAAAGACATCGTGATTTTGTTTTGTCATAAAACGCATTTTTTGTCAATTTTATTGTGGATTTTCTCTTCGATCGTAACTTGCTAACAACTATTAGTACAGCTTTGAAATTGTATGTGAATATTCCACTTTTATGGATGAATGAAACAAGTGATTACATTTATTCTTATCATTTTTCCTTTTCGAAAAATCTTTGCTTTTCTTCAGAACTCAACTTGCTGCGAGGCGAGGGCCCAAGAAAAATCAAATATTTTTCGTAAAAAAAAGTGATAAGAACAAAAGTAATCACTTGTTCCATTCTTCCATACAAGAGGAATGAATACACACAATTTCAGAGCTGTACTTATATTTGGTGATAAGTTTGAAGAAAAAATGTACAAAAAATGCATTTTTTTACACAAAAAATTAAAACATTGTTTTTTTAGTCAACTCTATAGACACCATGAAATCATCAGATGAAAAGGATTTAGAATATGGATGCAATCAGGTAGCTGGAAAAAAATCTATAAAAAGGGACGTGCCACCTTAAAACCTAAAAGTCACTATTTTTATAAATATTACATATCTGATTACGTATGGACTACGGGACTTCTCTTGATAGTTGGTGGCTTGATCCTCTTTCAAAGATGCCACTTGGATGTGTTTAGGACACTGCAGAACCGGAGTATTTTGTCAGGATTCATTTGACATATAATTTAATTTGTCTATGTCTGTTTGTAGCAATTCTGACCCAATATCCTATGTATTCTGACATGAAGCACTCCAAATCTGCCACCAATAGTGAATCTGTAGCCTTAAGAAACAAATTTTCGTCTTTTTTTTTAAATTTCTGTTCCCCAACATCCCTAACTGCATCACCTTGCCTTCTCACCTTGTACACCAAGTTCCATATATCAACTACCCGCTGCCGCTGTGGCCATAGTCACCACCGTATCACCCCTACGCCCTTGTACAACCCACCACCGCTAGCACAATATGCCCCTATCCAGCGCCGCTGCGGCTATAGGGGGCGCAGGCGATGCCTTACCACCCGCAACTACCCCTACCCTAACACCGTGGTGGTGATGGTGGTGCCGCCTGCAGGTGGGTCCGCACAACAGGCATTGAAGGACCGCTGTGGCTGTTGCGCCCTCGTTGCTGCAGGAGAATGTCGTTGAGGATGAGGCGGCGGAGGAGGAGGAGGAAGGTTTAGGGGAAGCGGTCGCGGTCACCGTGCCCATGGCGCTGCTACTGCTGCCTGGAGAGGACTCTATGGAGGGCAGGCACGAGAAGCTTTTGCGTTGCGTCATCGGTGTGGACCTGCAAACAAAAACAAATGTTCAAAATAAATGAAATGAGACAGGGCTGTATGACGCCGTTCGTAAATCAAAATAAGTTAGATTGCAACACCTTATTTATTAAGGGAAAAAAGTCAAATGAGCTTCTGTAGGTACAAAATCTGAAAAAGTGCTATTCGCTGGGGGCGCGATGACAGAGCCACCGACCGGAAAATGGGCATAAGGATTTGTGCTGTATGCACTATAAAAACAAACAGATATTAATGAAAATAATGGAAAGTTAGACGATTTGAGGTTAGGGATACTTTGAAGATTAATAATAAATAATAATTTTTATTAACAAAGGTACATAATACAATAATACACGTTGGTAAATACCTTGTGTGCCGTTTAATATTATATGGAATTAAATATATCGGATGATATAGGATTTTCACAACTATACAAAAAATGTGGAATGGTAATTTGAAAATACAAAAAGTATGTAACGTTTTGGCGTGATGAATCTATGTTACATAGGAATTGAAGTTGAGGGGTTAAAAAATTTATAGTAAAGTATGAGTAAATTTTTAATTTAGGTAGGTCGTACAAACACTATTTCATTTGCCAATTGTTAATAAAATTATGTTAGGCAGCCCTGGAGACACAATTTGTTCACTGCTTTAATACGAATTCTCTATGTATACTTTCAAGCGAGCTAGGTATACAGTTATACAGGGTGTCCAATAAGTACCACGACAAACTTAAGGAGAAGGTAGGCTGTGGACTAACCTTCAAAATAACAAAATATATAAAAGTGTCACCGTTTTTGAGATATTGAATTTTTTCTTGAATTTAAAAAAAAAACGAACCTTTTCATCTGTGGTCTTTAGCTGCATGCACAAATAAGGTTGTACTTTGTTAATTTTTTCTATAAAATACTTCTAGATAGTTGCTTTATCATATACAAATGCAATGTAGTTAAAAGATATTGAGGAACCATGATAAAATAAGGACTGTTTTGGGATTTATAACCCTCTGATATTGTTTCCTCAACTGCCATAATACCATATCAGGATCAGGTAATAATAATGTATCTATGTACTATTCAGCATGTCACTGATCGGTAACCAGTGCAACTTGAATTTAAATCCACACCCTGTATAACTTGGGAGCCTAACAGTGATTTTGGTATAAAACAACAAACAACATGGATGTGTTGTATTTTCATCTGCTCATCTTTGTTATGATATTTACAGTTTGTAGAAAATGTAATTGTTGTGTATCAAGTTTTCGCTTAGAGATGTCGTATAAATTAGAAATAAGAAAAATTATCTACAAGTTGGTTGTGCGGGTACCAAAAGCTGAAATCTGTCAAATATTCCAGAATGAAAACATTTCACGCAGAATAGCGAAATACGAGCAGGGAATACCATGTCTGAATCTCCCAAAAAGTGGAAGACCAATTGCATTTACTGCACAGAGGTCAGAGAGATTGGTGAGAAGAGCAAAAAATCAGGTTGCAATGTCAACAAGGAGACTGGCTCGTCAATACAGATCTTGTAAGAGTACGATATTGTTGGAATTGAGGAGGAATGGTCTTGAATTTCGAAAAGGAATAAGTGCTCCAAATACTCTCAATCGCAACTCCTTCATATACCAAGATGCTGTCCGTCAACAGATGCGGGTACACTTTGCCAATGGAAGAATCATTACTTTAGATGACGAAAAGTATTTCACTTTGAGTAATTTTGAAATGAAGTGAAACGACGGATTTTATACGGACAACGTAGAGGCATGCCCTAACAATGTTAGATACAAACATAAAAAGAAATTTGCAGATAAAATCCTTGTCTGGTGCGAAATTTCTAACAGTGCTGTATCCCAACCTTTTGTGGGAAGAGTGAAAGGTGAAGCTTTGAATAGTCAGAGCTATATTGATAACTGCCTTCCCAAATTGCATCAGTTTGTCCACCAACATCATGCTAATGACCATATCATGTTTTTGGATAGACCTAGCATCATGCCATTACTTAAGGATACCCAAAACTGGCTTCGATAACACAAAATACCTTTTGTTCCCAAAAACGATAATCCTAAAAACTTGCCGCAGGCTTGCCCAATAAAGGATTTTTCTGTCTAGGAAGGTTTATCATGAAGGGGTGGGAAGCCCAAGAAGAAGAACAATTAAGACGGTGAATTTACGAAAAACAGAGAAATTGATCTGAACTCCGTCAAGGACCTCAAGACATTCGAAGAAAGTTGCGTCTGGAAGACCAGAAAGTGCCACTCCATATAATTCGATAGTATAGTTGAGTTTAAGTATTGAGTTGTAATTTATGATAACTAGTTAGTGTTTGAATTATTAAAAAAAAAATCCGATAAATATTTTGTGCCAATACTTTCAGGACATACGTTACAGCATCGGTTTACAGAACATAGTTTTCAGTACGAGTCGTTGGAGTATCATTATCAGGTCGCTGATAACATTCAAACTTGTCATATGATGTTGGAATACATAGTTGGACTTATTGAAATTGTGGGAAGCACATACCTTGGTTGAGGTAGTGTGGATGACGAAGATGAGGATGTCTGGTAGTGTCCGTTCTCGTTTGAGGTGTTCGTTGTCGACGACGGCAGTTGGGCTGGCAGATTTGTCTTTAAGGAGATCCACGGATGATCCAGCATCTCGTGAATCGAAGGCCGGTCCCTAAAACAAAAAAAATTAAAATTGCACTGAGGAACGGCTTTGCCAACCTGTGACATCATGATACAGTAGACTACACAGTCGATCAAGTTCGCAGACATTCCAGGCCGCGCCTCGCACTGTGATCAAAATTAAATTGTGCACTTCAGACCAGCCAAAATTATTTCAAAACCTTTTTTGAGAAACAAAATTATTCGTGTAGTCAAAACAATAATACTTAAGCTATTTCAAATGATTTACTTTTTTTCTTTGCTCTATTTCTTCCTTTCTTTCCCTTTTCCCCTTAAACATGTTGTATCTGGGTAGCCAGACCTGACAGACCGACCAGACTTTTAACTAGTACCATGATGCAGTAGCTTGAAGTAGGTACATTATGTATATTTTAATAGCTCTCAACAAATATTATGATTACGCATTTTAACAATTAGTCTAATCAAATTAGACGAAAATACCTCTGGTTAGCGGAATAATTGTAAAGTCTGGTTTTATTGCAGCAAGTTGTTCAAGGGGGTATTTATGGTATTTATGAAAGCTACAAAATGAGACCACACGTAAAAAGATCCGACTAACAGAAAAAAAGTTATGTCAAACTGCAGGTTTTGGCAGTTGTTGGTAATGCAACTATAATTTCTCGCAGATTCTTGAAATTCTGCAGATTCGTAGGACTCGTACTTCTGAATAATCACAACAAAATTGGAGTAAATTGGTCAAGTAGTTTTTGAGCATTTCTAATTGTTTATCCCAAAATACCTGTTTTCCGGCAATCACTACTAGTTTATTGAGCAATATACAGGGTTAGTTCAAACGGCATTTTATAGCCCAATACACTATTTTACCTTGCCGATGATAATCTTAAACCATTCCGGAAGATAAATGTTATTTTTATGTAAAAAGAATGGGTTACGTTTTTTCTTCTAAACAAATTCAAACACTTCGTATTCGTGAATAATTCGCAACAAAAGATGATAGACACATCCGCTTTGTTTTAAAATGTATATAGTAATGCTTAGAAGAAAAAAACGTAACCTTTTTTTTCACACAAAAATAACATTTATCTTTCGGAATGGGTTATGATTCATATCGGTTAGGTAAACAACGTGTATTTTGCTATTAAATGCTCTTTGAAGAACCCTGTATATTGCGCAATAAACTAGTAGTGATGACCGGAAAACAGGTGTTTTGCGATAAACAATGAGAAATTCTCAAAAAACTACTTGCCCAATATACTCCAATTTTGTTGTGGTTATTTAGAAGTACGAACCCTACGAATTTGAATTTCAAGTATCTGCGAGCAACCATCGTTGCATTACCAACAAGTGCCAAAACCTGCAGTTTCGTTTTCGGCCATAACTTTTTCGCTATTAGTCGGATCTTTTTAAGTGTGGTCTCATTTTGTAGGTCTCACAAATACCTAAACAGTTTTTTCGTTCCTATCAAAACTTTCGAAAAACACGTTTTCTATTCTTTGTTGTCAAATAAAAAATTGGTGTACCCCTGTTATGCGTCTATGTTTTAAATACCCCCCTGAACAACTTGCTTCAATAAAACCAGACTTTACAATTGTTTCGGGGAAATTTGCTAATATGATTAGACTAAACTAAAACATCAAAAATTCAATCAGCTATACAATATAAAATAGAAAATCCTTACCTGGGGTTGACGACCAGCGCCGATTTGATGAAATCCACCGCCGCCGTTGAGACGTCATCGAAATGTTCGGGTTCGAAGCTAAGCGAACATCGGCTGATATTCAGGAAAGTCTGTTGCTTGTCGTCAGCGCCGAAAGGGCTGAAGCCGGACAGAAGGACGTACGCCAATACGCCGATGCTCCACACGTCCGTGCTGAGGCCGATCGGTTCGTACGACAGCACTTCCGGGGCTACGTAGTCTGCAGTACCTGAACATTAGAAAAAATGACGTTACGTAGATTGACTATGTACTTCCAATGCTGTTAGTAGTATATAAATTTCACAATTTAGCCCTTCACAGAAAAAAGTTAGCTAAGGACATGTCTAAGAAGGAATTAAATACTAAAAACGAAAGTCCGTCCACAAAAATGGCAAATGTGAGTGCGGCCGAGCTTTAGTACTTTTTCAAACAAAGTGCATTATAGACATCAATCGTTAAAACACGTGTTTTTCCTCTAAGAAGGTTAATACAAATATGGAATAAAAATAGAACAATTCATTTCAAAAACACAACGTTGAAGTATGGCTTAGTACAGGAACATCCTGTATGTTTGTGAATATTTTAAGGATAACATAATAACCACAAACAATTTTCTTCAAAACATCGTAGTCGTAGTCCGGGGAGGACACCGTCCATGTAAGGCTGGATCGCCCTGTATGACTACCGCAAAGAATTTACGATTTTTAGGAGCCTAGGTGTATAGCAGCCTAACAAAGATGATAAACAAATATTGGAGCAGTTATTGGAAGCTTATGTTCTGGAACAACGAACATTGCGGGAGTTCGAGAAGCCGTAAACGGAAAAATAAATTTTTGAAAATCGACCGGATTTTGATAATATTTTTAACGACTTATGACAATAAAACAGTCGGAACTATGTTAGAATGTTAATCAACTACAACGATTACGAATGCCAGGAAGACATTACAGAGTTCTGACAATCACAAACACCGTATACCTAAATATTAACGTTGACATTTAAGTAATGAGATGTCAAAGTATTATAGGTTAAACTGTTGCTGTCAATTTCATATAAAATTATGAAGCAATGTATTAATTGTGTCTACTTAAAACTAGTAAAAATGTCCTTATCGACATTATCCTGAAAGAGATTTTTCAATATATGAGAAAAACCTCAAAAAATCGAAGGTTCTTATTTTTTTAAACAAATTTCTGCACCAAGCTAGACCGGCCGATATAAGTCTTCTTATGTGTTCTGGAAGACCCTCTGATGGAAATCTACTTCAGAAAACATCTACCTAGTCAAAATCTACCTCATGTAAAATTCTAAGCAGATGCTTCAACAGTTTCAACCGCTTTTAATGTTCTAGATATACTGACCTAATATTTCTCGTACTGTAACACCAGGTTGTAGCACTTTGGAAATGCCAAAATCACAGAGTTTGATGTCTTCACATGAGTCTTCAACTGATAGTAGGAGGTTTTGTGGTTTCAGGTCCAAGTGTGCGATATTCCTATCATGAAGGTAAGCTACGCCTTCTAATATTTGTTTCATTGCTTTCCTAGCTTCCACCTATAACAAAAAAAAAATAAATTAATAGACAAATAGAAAAATACATAAATACCGTGCAGAATGGAAAATATAATATACTAAGTGACATATAAATCCGAACACCCAGTTTAAATGGTTTTATTTTAATAAAAGTTGGTGGATGTATTTATCTTACTGTAAATAACAAGTGAAAAAATTTTCAGCCTTATCAGTTGGACATTCCGGTTTTTATACTGCTTTTTTTTAATTCACTAACGCTCTAAAAATGAATATTTCAGCCGCAGTAAAGAATCAACGTTGGCGGATTTTGGTTCTTGACATCCTTTACGATCGGTTGCGACGCCTAGAGTACGGAGACCTGTACGATTTCGTCAACTTAGTGAGTTTGATAGGGGCCGTATAGTGGGACTTCGGGAAACTGGACTTTCTTTTCGGGCAATTGCAGTTAGAGTGCAAAGAAGTGTAGACACTGTGGTTAGGTGTTGTGAACAACAGACCGTGAAGATCGCCGCCTAAGATTATTGGCCTTAAGGGACCGTTTCTCCACTACCAGGTCCATTGCAAATGAATGGTTTGCAGAACACGGAAGACCTATTGGCATGGGAAGTGTTTACCGACGAATGAGAAGTTTTGGCTTGTTTTCATACCGGCCACACTGGGTCCTCCCTTTAACTCGAGAAGACCGACGTAATCGCCTTGAGTGGTGCAGATAACGGTCACTCTGGGATCAGGAATGGAACAGTATGGTCTTTAGTGACGAGTCTCGATTTTGTTTAGACATGCACGATGGTCGTGCCAGGGTTAGAAGGCGACGTGGTGAAAGGAGGAATCCACAGTTTATTGTTGAAAGACATGTTCATCACACTGTTGGAGTTATGGTTTGGGGTGCTATAGTTTATGGTTTCAGGTCACCTTTAATCTTCATCAGAGGTAACATGAACGCGCAGCGTTATATCCACGAAGTTCTAGAACCCCATCTTTTACCCTATCTTGACACCCTGGCAGATCCAACTTTCCAACAAGATAATGCCCGACCACATGTTGCAAGAGTCACAATAGTCTTCTTTCAACATAATGATGACACATTGTTACCATGGCCACCAAGATCTCCCGACTTATCCCCCAATTGAGCACGTGTGGGATATGATAGGGTAGGAGATTGCTCAATTTGCAACGTCCTCCTCAGACTCTAGAAGCACTTCGAGAGGAGTTGGTGGTTGCCTGGAATGAGATACCACAGGACGACATTGACCACCTGATCAGAAGCATGCCTAGGCGCGTTGGAGAATGCGTAGCACATCAGGGTGCATCCACACATTATTAAAGGTCAAAGGGCTTTAAAGCAGTGCAATCATTTTGAAATTTTTATCATTCACTTATTATGCTTCATTAAGTACTTATACAAAATTTTATTAAAATAAAACCTTTTAAACTGGGTGTTCGGATTTATATGTCACTTAGTATACATAGAACTAGTTCGTTTCAGTGAGCGCGAGCTAACGAACTAGTTCTAGAAACGAAGAAACTAGAAATCACAGATATAAAGGTAACAATAAATAATAATAATAATAAATGTTATTTTTATGCGAAAAACAAGTGTTGCGTTTTTTTCTTCTAAACAAATTCAAACATTTCGTAAACGAACAAATGCGCTACGATATTCGAAAACATACGTTACTACGTATATTTTAACAAAACTGATGTGTTTATCATCTTTTTTGACTCACAAGTATGCAATGTTTGAATTTGTTTAGAAGAAAAAACCCAACCCATTTTTTTGCATAAAAATAACACATCTACTGAAATGGTTTGTGAATCATAGCGGCAAGGTAAACTAGGTTATTTTGCTATAAAAAGCCCTCTGAACTAACCCAGTGTATTGCTCAATAAACTAGTAGTGATGGGCAGAAAACAGGTATTTTGGGATAAACAACTGGAAATTCACAAAAACTACTTGACCAATCTACTCCAATTTTGTTGTGGTTATTTAGAAGTATGAATCCTACGAATTCAAAGAATTTCAAGTATCTGCCAAAACCTGCAGTTTGCCTGTTTTTTTTTATTTTGCTATTAGTCGGATCTTTTTATATTTTGTAGGTCTCATAAATACCTAAAAATCTTATTTGAAGAGTTTTGTTGTTCCTTCCAACACTTTCGATTGAATCCCAAAAAACACGTTTTCTCATTTATTGTTGTCGAATAAAGTTTTCCCACAAAGATTGGTATACCCATTTTATGCGTCCGTGTTTTAAATACCCCCTTGAACAACTTGCAGCAATAAAATCAGATTTTACAATTATTTCGCAAACCAGGGGTATTTTCGTCTAATATGATTAGACTATAATAATGCATTATTTGAAGAGGCTCAGCCTGCCAATATCACAGCATAAACCCCTAACCTCGAAATTCTTAAAAAATAAAATTAACAAATTAAATCTTTAATTTACAGAAAAAAAGTATGCAAATTTATAATAATAAGGATAAAAAATGTATTATGGGAGAAAAATAATATAAATTAAAATTTGATATTAGAGGAAAAATTTTATCTTTAGTAAACAACTTCATTAAAACAGTAAAGGAACTTTGAGTATGGCCATCTGATTACCTCAAACAATAGCTGTACCAGCTTTCAAAATTACACGAATCAGTTGGTTCGATTTCCTGCATTTTACTACTTACCTCTTGCAAGCAGTGCCCCTGGTCCAGTATATGCTGCAGCTCGCCGCCAGCAGCCAGCTCGAGCACCAGCACCATCTCGTGCTGTTGGTCGTACACCTCGTGCAGCCTGACCACCCTTCCAGTGCCCCTGCATTGCATCAGCACCGCGATCTCGTGGTGGATCTCCCTCTGTTGGCACTGAGCCCTGCGACGTTTCTTCACGAACTTCGCGGCGAACGCCGAACCTGTCTGACGATGCACGCAGCGGCATACCGTCGCGTATTTGCCTCTGGAATGGAAGAAAATGAGGTCAAGTTTATATAAATTCAGGACAATAAATAACTATAACAATGGTAAATAGTACAGAGGCATGTGTAGAAGAAACTAGACTAAGCCCGAGTGGAAGTTGTATACGTCATTCGTTTTGCATTACTGTGAAGGAGATTGGTTTGGGAGAAAAAATGCAATACTCAAAGTAATTCAATAGTTACTCTGGCAATGGTCGTTTCCATCAATATTTTAATCAATATCAAATGTGTAATCACAATCACATAAGTAATACGTGAAGGTTTCTCTCAGCCTGTGTGGCATATCTCAACATATCCTAACCCAACAACCAGTTATTCACATTATTATATACTAAGTGACATATAAATCCGAACACCCAGTTTAAATGGTTTTATTTTAATAAAAGTTGGTGAATGTATTTATCTTACTGTAAATAACAAGTGAAAAAATTTTCAGCCTTATCAGTTGGGCATTCCGGTTTTTATACTGCTTTTTTGAATTCACTAACGCTCTAAAAATGAATATTTCAGCCGCAGTAAAGAATCAACGTTGGCGGATTTTGGTTCTTGACATCCTTTACGATCGGTTACGATGCCTAGAGTACGGAGACCTGTACGATTTCGTCAACTTAGTGAGTTTGATAGGGGCCGTATAGTGGGACTTCGGGAAGCTGGACTTTCTTTTCGGGCAATTGCAGTTACAGTGCAAAGAAGTGTAGACACTGTGGTTAGGTGTTGTCAGGCATGGCTTCGAGAAGGCCGTACGCAAAGAGCAAGGGGCACTGGACGCCGCCGTAGAACAACAGACCGTGAAGATCGCCGCCTAAGATTATTGGCCTTAAGGGACCGTTTCTCCACTACCAGGTCCATTGCAAATGAATGGTTTGCAGAACACGGAAGACCTATTGGCATGCGAAGTGTTTACCGACGAATGAGAAGTTTTGGCTTGTTTTCATAACGGCCACACTGGGTCCTCCCTTTAACTCGAGAACACCGACGTAATCGCCTTGAGTGGTGCAGGCAACGGTCACTCTGGGATCAGGAATGAAACAGTATTGTCTTTAGTGACGAGTCTCGATTTTGTTTAGGCATGCACGATGGTCGTGCCAGGGTTAGAAGGCGACGTGGTGAAAGGAGGAATCCACAGTTTTTTGTTGAAAGACACCTTTAATCTTCATCAGAGATAACATGAACGCGCAGCGTTATATCCACGAAGTTCTAGAACCCCATCTTTTACCCTATCTTGACACCCTGGCAGATCCAACTATCCAACAAGATAATGCCCGACCACATGTTGCAAGAGTCACAATAGACTTCTTTCAACATAATGATGTCACATTGTTACCATGGCCACCAAGATCTCCCGACTTATCCCCAATTGAGCACGTGTGGGATTTGATGGGTAGGAGATTGCTCAATTTGCAACGTCCTCCTCAGACTCTAGAAGCACTTCGAGAGGAGTTGGTGGTTGCCTGGAATGAGATACCACAGGAGGACATTGGCCACCTGATCAGAAGCATGCCTAGGCGCGTTGGAGAATGCGTAGCACATCAGGGTGCATCCACACATTATTAAAGGTCAAAGGGCTTTAAAGCAGTGCAATCATTTTGAAATTTTTATCGTTTACTTATTATGCTTCATTAAGTACTTTTACAAAATTTTATTAAAATAAAACCATTTAAACTGGGTGTTCGGATTTATATGTCACTTAGTATACTTACACAACTCAAAAGTTCTATAGATAGTCTTATTCTAGCGCAATTTATGGAAAATGACCCTATATTGCTATCAAGTAGAGGACGTGCATATTAGAAGTATAGCTTTCAATTTATTCCTCAAATTTCTTAGACTGAAATCAATAATACTATGTTTAAGTGCCGTTAGGTCGAAATTCTGATGAAAAGATAACATTAAAATTTGCCCTCTTACATCCTGACAAAATCTCTCAAAAAAAATGGACAATTTGGTTGCGGTTATGTACCTGCAGCATTCGGCACTGCCACAAGAAACCAAAGCTCAAAATTTCAAAGTTCATAGTTATTCATCTCGTCGGAATTTGTCTACTGAATTTACAAAACCTCTCGACTGAATAAATAATAAATTTTTTCACTTTGCATACATATTCATGCTCAAGTATGGCATGCCAAATACAACAACGCAATTTTTTTCAATAACAAAAATCGTTCACCTTTTAGACGTGGTCGATTTGAAAAGATTAGCAAACATAGTACATAGAAAGACAATATAATTGTAACCACGAGTCAAATTATAAACCTACGAACATCAATTATTTTTTTAATTCGATAATCGCCGCTGAGCTAGTGGGCGGTTGAAAAATTATTATTAAATTAACTTTAGCCATTTACTTCGATCAAGCGTTATTGTTGTGGAACAACATCTTGCGTTTTAAAACAGATCATAGCAAAAATATTTTCCTCTGATAAAAATTAAGCCAGTAACTCATTTTATAGATGAATGAATGGTAAAACGTTACCACAAATATTCGAAATATTGGCCGTTTCAGAAACACATTCTAACTACAACCAAAAATTGAGTAGTGGTAGAATAGCGAAAGCTAAACTTGTTTTTGGTTCATACCGATAACCTCAGAGAGGAGATTTTCAAAGACGAACTAGCACTATCTTCTATGATCCCACAGCACATTATTCCCAAACTTTAATCAAAATCGGTGCAGACGTTTTCGAAATTGCGTTAAAATAATGCCAATGGACAGACAGACCGACTGACAGAAATGAATGACTTTTTTCGTCTTGTAGATACTATGAAACATCTAAGGAACTTGAAATTCCAGATTTTTTTTTAGATTTCCAGATTGGATCTGTATGAAAACTTTTTTTTTAATCAATCTTCATTCAACAATCCACATTTACAAATTTTATAGCTAAAAAAGTTATCTAACTAACAACGCGAATACTAACAATAATAATAAAAAATAACCAATCTTTATTCTACGCAGAAATAGTTAATACCGATGATGAGAAAACTCAACGAACTTATTTAATCATCATGAAAATCTCGGTTCTATGAGACATCATTGCTCTTTGTAGGTGTTTTGATCCCCCTTATCTCAAGACTAAGATCTCTTGAGACAATAATCATATAATTAGCTCACAGCCATAATAGGTAAACATATCGTACATTGAACATTCCTTAAGCTTTTCCAAAGGTCGTTAGCACGAGGTTATAAAAACCACCGTGCTATACTTACTATATAATTTGAGTGGCCGTACTTGTACTTAAGGCTCACCGCACACAAAACGAACAAATAATTTGTTTCTGCATCATCATGTTTCAATGATTCAAAGGGTCATCGGAACGAAGCCAGATTACGAATTCAAACAATTTTCGGAATAATAAATACTAGGTTTACTTTGAGGTTCCTCTGGATTTTATCAAAAAGGTTATTTTTATTTTCCAGAGGTGAGAGAAGTTTTGCAATCATCAAAAATAAACGGAAAGACCAATATTTGACTAAAATATAACACCGAAAGAAAACTTTACCACATGGTTATTACAATGTTTCGAAAATCCATCCAATGAAGGAGGAGTTATTGACGAATAACGAAAAACAAAAATTACAAAAACTTCGTCCCTTCATGGTTCAGAGGTCCCTCATTTCACGAATCTTTTGGAGGGGGCTAAAACTGGGTATTAGGAGGTGTAAGGAGTGGGGTTTGTAAATGTTGCAACATGATATCAGTAAAATACATTCTTTTCAGCCATTTGGGCCTTTTAAACAGACTTCACTTATTATTTTTTGTGATACATGTTCTTCTCAGCGGGGATAATATTTGTATTGCTTTCGTTACAACAGATAACTTTAAATAAAATTAGTGCCAAGTACAACAAACAATATGCAATGGATCAAGTCAGTCAAACAGGCCCGTAAAATTAGTTTTTAGTCAACAGTAGGGACTCCGCACCCATCTGCAACGTTGTGATCTAGAAACGTTGCTATGATTAACCTTGCCACTCTAGGTATATCCAGAGATGTATGCGTTGAAAATATTTCTTTATCAGTTTTAAGCGCAAATATGTATGTACCGGGAAATCATGTGTGCAATATGACTAATAGCTGGGTAGAATTACTAAGCGTATAAGTATAATAAAGACAAAAAAAATTGATACATAACCTCTTTCGCACCCTACAAGTCTCCCACACCCAATTTTCAACACATACAAGATTTTTTCTTAAAGTTCGAGCGATTTTTTTTTCGTTTTTTGCCTTTAACTCCTCCGCCACTGGATCGATTTCCAAAAACTGCAAAACTTTTTGACCCGAACATTGTACTAACCTTGTGTCAAAATTTCATTCAAATCCGAGCGAAATTTTCCAAGTTGTAGACGGAGCAAGGATTAGCGGACAGACAGAAAACCGTAGAAATTCTCAGTATGCTGAAAATCGGTGAAGACATCTGTGAGTGAAAATATGCCACTTTTTTCGGTGTGCGATGGGCCTAAGCTATTCACACTCATACGCAATGATACACGCAGAGGGTTCATTTACCCAATCACATTTCAACAGTCATCATCGAAGAGGAGATACAATCAAGTGATCCTATGAAGGAAACACACTCTGTCAGTTTTTTCAACTCTAGGATCGCTGAATCATAGTAAGTGAGTGACCCCTGCACCTGTTCGAAATTATGCAATCAGATGCAGCAGACGAATTTTCTTGAAGCAATCATAATTGGACGATATTTTATTACAGACAATAGAGAAGAAATTACATTGATGTTACAAAAACGCCGTCAATGGCATAAACGAGTTATAAATCGATAAATCTGGTATAATAATCTGGCCAACCAAAGCACATGTGTTTAAAAGCTTTCTTTATTGGATACGTTTCGGTCCCAACGGTAACCTTGAAAATAGATAGGTACTATCTTGTCAATCTATCTGATTTATCTGCATTCCAGGTGACACTGGGTTTTCTTTTCATTTTCACATTCCTATACAATACTCGTAGTCTGAAAAGTCCGTA